GCGTCGGAAATGGCCCTCGCTACATGCTTGTTCGGCCTGTTGGTGGGCTGCTTGCCCGCGGGGGCGGCTTTCCAGGGGGCCACGGGGCTGAGCGAGTCGCAAAGGCAGGTCAGCGCCTCGGGAGGGGAGGCCCTCCACCCCTCGCCCTTGCACCCGGGCGGCCTGGTGCTCGGCTTCCTCCGTGCCCTCTGCGTCTCGGTCCTGCCTGCCGCCCTGCGCCGGACTCCGTCCTCGACCACACTCTCCTCCTCTCACGCTGTCCATGACGAGGGGAACGGCCCGATATTCTTGATGCACTGCGTGATCAAGCTGGCTGAAGCCCTCTCTCCCCTCTCTGGCGCTCCTGCTCCCTCCGCCCACGACGCGGCCTCTTCCCCGGACGCTGCCTGCTTCCTCCTTGACGTGTACCGGTGCGGCGCCCACATTTGCCTTGGGGGCGGCGGGACAGGCGGGTCGTGGCCCCCCCACTGGATCGAGAGCGGGCTCAAGGCACACCTGTACCTCCTCACGCGTCTCCTACCCTCTCCCGGCCTTGGCCCCTCCCTCTCAGCGCCTGGCCCTGCCTTGTCGCATATGATGCGGTTGGATGGCAGCACGTTGCGAACCGTTCTGGGCTTGGAGCATCCGACACGGGCGCTGTCGCCTCCTCCGCCCCAGAGAGGTCTCCTCCCCGCCCCCCTCATGTCCTCCTCCTTGACTCTTTGGAGGGAGAAGCTGGCGTTCGAGTCTCCCTCTCTCCCCCTGCCCCTCACACCTGTGGCACCGTCTGTCTCACAGACGCTGTGGGCGCGCACTCTTGGTGAGCTGGCGCTGCGGGGATCCGGAGAAGACGAAGAGCCCTGTGGGCAAGGGGACTCCGGAGTCTTCGACCTGTACGCTTGGCTGGCCTCGGAAGTGGAGGGAGGGCGGTGTCATGGCCAGCCGAAGGGGCACGGGGAGGAGGTTCTTCTCCTGAACTTGAGCGCTTTGAGCGCGGCTGTGGCGGTGGCGTGCCCGCGGCGTATCGAGGAAAGGGTTGAGGGAAAGGGAGAGGGCGGAAGGCCCTTGGCCAAGGCACAGGCGCGGGCGGAAGCGGCCGGTTGCCGGGCGTTGCAGGCCCTGGGATTCCTGCCCTCGGGCCCTGACCCTCCTGTCCACGATCAGGCATCGAGGTCTCTTCCTGCCCCCTCCCCGGCCTTGCAGGCTGCCGCGATGGACTTGGCATCACGCTTGCTCCGGACCCTCCCTTCATCGCGGACGGTTGCCTTGTTGCCGCATCTTCTGGAACAGGCGGTCCCGGCGGCCCTGGCGTCCCTTCGCTCTCCGTCTTCTCCCGCGGCGGGCACTTCTCCGGCCACTCGCGTCTTGCGGGCTATCGATTTGGCCCTGGGGGATCTTCTGAAAGCCGCCTCGTGCCCCGGCTCGGGGCCCTTTTCTGGCACCTGCCTCTCACGCGCTGTCGCGACCCGGCTGCTTCAAGGCGCCCTTGGCATGCTCGCCCGCTCCTCCCCCTTCGCAGACTTTACCCCTCTGGTGGATGAAGAACTCGAAGGGTCCGACGAGGTTGGCGTCGCCCTGGGGAAGCACCGCGGACTCGCTCTCTCCTTGATCGGAAAAATCCTCCGCCTCCTGCCCCCGCCTGCCCACACTCTTGCACACTCACCCTCTTCCTCCTCTTCCTCTGACAGCGACCACTACGAAGCCCAGTCGACTCTTCTCCTACTTCAGGAAGCTCGCACGCTCCTTGTTCATGCCCTACGCGATCCCATTCCTGCCAATCGTCCGCGGGCCTTGCAGACGCTCGCGCTTTTCCGGCTCTTGGTGGACGACCACTGCCTTCAATATGCTCCCTCCTGCGGGTCTGAGGCCATAGGGGACGTGCTCTTGCTGCAAGTCGAGCCGGTCGCGTCTGCCTGCAGCCCTTTCCAACGTACACCTGAATTCGTGCGGCGGCTATTTGACTACCTGATTGGTGTCGGAGGGGAGCATCCGGAGGCTGACAGCGAAGTTGCTCAAGGAAGGGAGCAAGGAAGGGCACAGCGCGCCAGACAGACAAGATCAGCTTCGAGCGAAGCTCTCTCGCGTGCTCAAAAAAGAGGCGGTGGCGATACAGGAGTGGCAAAGGTGGGGATGGCGGGCTCAGGGAAAGGAGGAGAAGGTGGTGGGGATCCGGCGGATGACGAGCCCTTTTTCCAGTGGCTGCGTTCACTCTGCCTGGATGCCATGACCGGTGTTCTTCGAATCCCCTCGTTTGCTGACACCGCAGCTGGGGAGGCCTCGCACTCTTTAGCTGTGAGCTTGCTTGAGACCTGCCTGGGACAAGCGGATGACGGAGTGCTGAAAAGCTCCTGGAGGGGGGACAATGTCGCCATCTGGGGCAAATTTCCAAGTCCGTCGTCGCTCTCGAAGCAAGTGCAACGACCAGAGCATCCTATGATTCGGGCTGCCCGCCGTCTTCGAGCGGAGGCCGGCCGGAGCCTCCGCTCTCCCGCTCTGTGGGCTGTATGGGAGCTGGCGCGGCTGCTGGTGTGGGGGCGTCTCAAGACGCACGTTGGGGGCCCGGGGGCCACGTTTGCGACTCTGGAACGAGCAATGGCCAAGATTCAAATAGAATTGATGCAGGACAAGAAGAAGGATGGAGCGCTATTGCGTCGAGCGGACTTACTGGTGACATTTTTAGGGGCCTTTGAGCGGCACATCGCCAATGTCGTGGAGGGCTCTGAAGGCAGAGATGTCGGGAGCCAGTATTTGGCCCGGAAAATGCAAGGTCACGTCACGAATATAGAAATAGACAGAGGAGATGGGGAAGGCTCACAAGCGTCAGAGCGGTACGGAAATTGCGCACGAGATGTCCCATGTCAGGTCCAGGAAGCGAAGCTCGTCGGGGGCGCGGAGCGAACACAGCCGGGGGGACAGTGCGAGTACCCCTCTGTCCGCATCGCCCTTCCCCCGCCTTCCAAAAAGACGGAGGCCTTTTTCTTGGCAAACAAGCACGTGTGCTGGGACTGGCTGGCGCGCGTGCGGCCCATGCTCGTACGTGTGTCTCTCTCTTTGGAGGGTTGCCAGGAGCAAGGCGTCGAGTATGCCTTCAAGCGGCTGGTAGATCTTGCATCCGTTGCGAAGCAGAGGGGCCCAAAGTCTTCTTCTATCACGGTCCCCTCTCCTTCCGTACCTCTCTCGGTCTCGCCCGTCTCATTCCAGGACGTGGAGGAGCTCGCAGTGGAGGTGGCGGTCGCGGTGACTGAGCACTTTAAGGAAAGCGGTGTGGAAATGCTGCAAGGGCTTGAGAGGTGGCTGGCCGCCCTCCAACGCTCTAATTCGTGTCCTTCCTCATCAGCATCTTCTACGGCTCTTGCTCTACCAGTTTCTCTTGTTTGGCTTCAAGGACTGCAGCTTATGGCCCAAGGCCGCTACGAGGACGCGCTGCGTCGGTGGATAGGCGGTGTCTTCTTCCACGAGGGTTTCAACACCCTCCTGACAGCCTTTACATCCAGCTCTCTCTCCCAGAGTCAAGTATCGCAGGCAAAGGACATGAAACCTTCGATAGTTGTCACGGCGTCCGTAAAAGCGCAGGCGTCATTGACTGCATGGCTTCTTTTGCAGCAGGCACAGACCCCGGCGGTTTTGCAGACAATCATGGACCGGAGCGTTTTGTGCTACTGCCGCCTGGGGGACTGGCGGGGCCTTGGGGTTTTCCTGCAAGCAGTACAGGCTCTGCACGTGGTCCTCTCGGCGATGGTGGGGGAAGAAATTGAGGCAGAGGGGGTATTATCGGCCATGCAAGGGTGCGGTTGTAATGCGGACAGGATGAAGGGAGGGGGAAGCGATGACAGGGAGGGGAAAAAGTGGAAGCGTGTGATTGAGAAGAGGGGAAGACTCCAGGAAGGAGAAGAGGCCTTCCTAGAGGATGATCGAGAAGAAAGAGACGCCGTGGAGAAGGCCGGAAAGATACCTTCTTGGGTGCTTTCCGCGCTTGTTCCTCGGGTGGAATCGGCGTGGATTCAGACATGGATGCGTGTCGATGGCCAAGGCTGTTCACTCCTATTTGCACAGGCTCAGTGGGGCGAAAAAGGCCTTGGCGCTTACGAAACAGTCAATTTGGGGGAAAGTTCAACGAGGAAAGCAACGATATGCAAAGACGGCACTCCCTCGCTTCCCACGTCTACGCGACGGCCGAACCTTTCTGCTCAGGGGTGGATGGAAGTCTTCTCTTTCTTACAGCAACACCGCCAGAGCTCGTCTGGCTTTTCTCGTTGCCCATCACCGCCAAATCTTGCGTCGGAAATGGCCCTCGCTACATGTCTTGATGAGACCCTGGAGTTGCTTATGGACGAAAGCCACCACAATCATGCAGATGCATTGCGGGCGATCGCCACGCAGACGCCTCGCCTCCTAGAAGGGCTCACTGCCCCTCTCGCCGTGCCCTCTGCTCTTCCTTCGGCCTTCAACTCCCTTTCGTACACACTGTACGCGAATTCTGGCCACCTGTCATCGCCCTTACTGACTGATATTGCCTGCTTGTCGACATTCTCTTCAGTCTTGCGGCGGGAGGGAGAAGATGGCTCGGAAATCATTAGCAGCCGTCGTCCCCCAACTGCATTCTCTTGGCTTCTCTCATCACCTCATGCTGTCACATCCTCCTCTGATCTTTCCTCCTCCCCTTCATACTCCTTCGTCTTCCCATCCTCGACGGTTGCGGAAGACTGCCGGTGTGATAATGTGAGCGGTGATTCCTGGCTGCATCTGCACCGAACAGCGCTCGTCCTAAAAGCGGTCACGCGCCTTCATGAGCAAGGTCTCTCAGCTGGTTCATCTGCACATTCAATGTCACAGACAAGAGTGGAAGATACAAGTTACGATCTCAGCCTTGACCTAGCTCGAATCAGAACAGCCTGGTTGCATGCCGCCCGTCGAGAACGCAACGTAGGACTCTGCAAGGAGCTTATTCAGGAGCTCGAGTCCCCAACGTCCTCATCTTTGTCTCCCTCTTCTCTTGATTGGTTTTTGAGGGTGCGTTATGAAGAGGTGCAAGTCAATTTTCTGGAGACCAACGGCATTCATCAGCTTGGTGCCTGCATTGCCTCTTTGCTGGTCATAGCCTCGGCGTTGCTATTATCCGAACCGGGGTTAGCGTCTGTATCGTCAACACGTGACCCACTTGCCCCTAGCCCTCTGGTCCAGCTGGAGGGTTGGGAAGGAAGCGACACGCGAATGGGCAAAAGTGGCTGTAGCACTGACTGGCTAAGACTGGCAAAGGACTCCGAATTGAGTGGATTGGCAAAGTTGCTGTGCTCAGGCGAAGAAACCCGTGATCGTGGCAAAACGGAAAAGATGCGGCGACATTGGGGCTACAGATGTTTAGTGCGGGCATCGCAGTGGCTACAGCAGTACCATGACCAGCACCGATATGCTTCGCAAAGTGCGCGCTTTCCTTTTCCTGGCCCGTCTTCAGCTTTGCAGCAGCGGACCAATAAACCATGGCCTGCTCCTGCTTTTGAAGCAACCTGTTCCTCGAACACCGCTCCTTACGCTTTGCCTTCCGATACTCCATCTGAGTCCGTTTTCGCTTATGATCCTCCCGAAACGCAGCAGCCGGCACCAGTACGATCTCATTCTTTATGTGATAGTTCCCCGCCCTGGTTCTACGCGCTTTTTTTCACCCACGCCAATAGCAATGCCGAGGAGCTCGCTGGACGATGCCTGGAGCTTGCTGCACAAGTAGTAAGCCCCAAAAGTAGGCAGTGGGGTAAAGCGTGGAGATTGTGGGGCGATTGGTTGTACCGCCGAGCCAAAGCTCTGAGCACCAACCAAACGACACATGATAATGCAAGGAACCCACAGCAATTGGAGCGACAGAAGCAGATTCAGCTGAATGCGTGGAAAACGCATCAGAACTCAATGCCCGACCTTGTACAGCTGTCGGAGGAATTAATTAAGCATGAAAATCTGGAGGGAAACCCGTCGCGGGCAAGACGCGAGGCTGTGCAGACGCTGCTGATGGAAACAATTTTGTCTGAGGAGAGGGAGGAAGACGGGCTGGGCGAGGAGGGAGTCTTGTCGGTCTCAGCGGTCAAAAAAGCTGGGTTTGAACGTGGGGGGAACAATGCGGCCTTGATAGCGCGCCTGCGTGAAGCCATACGACGCTTACGACGGGAGCGGAGAGAGGCTCGTGTCCAGGCTCTGGAGGGGTCAGTGGATGCGTACTGCCGGTACTTGCAGGTTGGGGAAAAGTCATGTACGGGCCTAGGAGACAGTGGATACTCAGCGCTTCGTGCTCTCTCAGCACTACGCATCTTGAAGATGCTCGCTCGTCTTCCCTCGGCATCATTACAACCCTCGGCTTTAATGGGTACTCAATTAGAACCGAGCACCTGCTGTTCCTCTCTCCTCCGCCGTTCACTGACTGCGATGCCTCTGAATCCTTGGCAAGCTCTGGTGCCGCAACTCCTGATACGGCTGGCAATCTTACCAGAAGCCTCCTTCCAGTCGCTGCTCCCCCTATTCGAGCGTCTGGTAGCATCTGCCCCCCAAGAGATTGCGTGGACACTAACTGTTGGCTGCGCAGAGCTAGAGAGGTCGAGGACATCTCAATCGTTTGCTCTTTCACCAATTTCCGTCAGTACCCCTGTCCATAAGCAAACCAAAGATATGGCAGTGAGTGTCGCTCGTGCGCGTTGGCTCTTTCTGAAAAGTTTTTTACAAGAAAGGCACCCTGACCTCATTCAGGACGTTGCGGTCTTCACGGAAGCTCTGACCTCGCTCGGTCAGTTGTGGGATGAGCGCTGGCTTGTATACGTGAGCGAGCGTTGGCACGTGAAGGGGCTGCAGGGGCGCTTACGAAGCTTGAGTCGCGAGGGAGAACGTTTGGCGCGTAATCCGACGCTGCCGGAGTCGGAGAAAGGTCGCATTGTCTGCGAGAGGTATGCCGCGATGCTGTTGCCACTCTTTGTCGAGGCACAGACTCTTGCGGGCGAAACAGGCTGCGGTATGGTCGATGACAAAGACGGACACCAGGATTTCTCAGGTTCCCCGGATGCCTCGTCGTCCGCTCACCCCAGTGCCCTCGAGGTGCATTCGTCTTCACCTCATAACTGTGCCTTTGCCAAAAAATGGCGTCCCCGTGTGATGGAGGTACTCGCTCTGCTCCAATGCGCTCCAGATACGGCTGCGGCCATGGACCCGATGTCCCACGTCTGGCCTGTCCTGGAGAAGTTTAAACGTGACATTATTACTGCTGTTACAGGGGAGGAAGGAAGGAGTAGAAAGAAAAGTGGAACGGATGTTGAACCGGGACCTACCACACAGCATCAAGGCCGGCAGCTCAGAGCCGAAGCGGTGACTCCACAATTGCTCTCCCTTCTTGCGAAAGGGAACTTGCAGCATGTAGAGATGCCTGGCACCACACGTCCGACTTTTTTTTACGAAAGCCAGGGGAGAGGAGTGGCTGTGCAAATGGTCGGGATTGGGGGGCATGGTATTATCACTGTGCTCAAGACCAAGACCCGGCCAAAGAAGCTCAGCCTGCTCGGCTCGGATGGAAGGGAGTATACCTATCTGCTGAAGGGTCGCGATGATCTGCGATTGGATGAGCGCCTCATGCAGCTGCTGGTGACCGTCAATAGTGTCCTCCACGTCCGTGCACAGACGCCGCGCACGGAGAAATGTGCGCTCGGGAGCGCTGTGTTGAGAGGCCTTCGTGCTCGACACTATGCGGTCCTGCCGCTCTCGGCGTCGGCCGGGCTGGTGCAGTGGGTGGGGGGCACCACGCCCCTTTTTAGCTTGTACAAGAACTGGAGACTTCGTGCCGTGAGGGGTGAGAGGCTTCTGCTTGAATCCCAACAGCAGATTCAACAGGCGATACACCAGCGAGAGAAACAACAACAGCAGCAAGTGGTACAGGCACAAGAGGAGGACAGCTCCATAGACATAGAAAAGCGAGGAAAACGGAAGAAAACGACAGCAGAGCGTCGCGAACGCCGCAAGCGGCAGCAGGATCGAGAGCGTCGACCGCGGCTCGGTGAAAAGGGAGCGGAGAGAGAAATTAGTACCGAGAGGGCCAGGAAGCCATTACTCTGGGCCCCTCCTGCCACTTTCGAGGAGCTGGAAAAAGGAGCGCGACGACAAAAGGGAAGGGCTGCGAAGACGAAGAAAGATTCATCGACCTCTGGTGGATCTGGGACGTTGCCCGAGCCAAGTGTTGAAGATAAGTCTGACAATGTCAAGACAAGCTCAAGGGAATGCAGCTTCCATGTCAGCGAGTCACGGGGAAATAGGGGGCAGCATAGAGTAGAGGAGAAGGAAGAAGAGGCTAGGGACGACGAGGACGAAAATGAGGAAGAAGACGATCTAGAAAGTGCTCCAGCGGCCTTATTCTACGCAGAGCTGGTTCCCGAACTGGCTAGACAGGGATTGGATCTGAGATCTACTGCTGCCTCCCATCGAGGCGAATGGCCGCACTCAGTCCTGCGCACAGTGTATGATCGTTTGATGGCTCAATCTCCACGCCATCTGTTGGAGGTAGAGTTGGTGGCAGGCTCACTAGGCGCCGAAGATTTGTGGCAGCGACGGCAAGTCTTGGCGCGCTCCCTCGCCGTCATGTCTGTACTCGGGGCCGTGCTTGGCTTGGGTGACCGGCATCTGAACAACCTCTTGTGGGACGGACGGCGAGCTGAGCTTTTGCACATCGACTACACGGTCTGCTTCGACCGGGGCCTGCGCTTGCGGGTTCCCGAGGTGGTGCCCTTCCGTCTGACGCCTGTCTTGGTTGCGGCCCTGGGGCCTCTGGGTGTGGACAGCGGGGCATTTGTAAATGGGATGGAGACCGTGCTGCGAGGTTTGCGAGGACATAAAGAGCTGCTATTGTCGGTGCTGGAGACTTTGGCGCACGACCCACTTGTGAACTGGGAGGACATTTTGGGGGTAAGAGGTAATGGAGGAGGCGGCAGAGGGCACCAGGGGCCGAAACAATTGCATCAGCACGCCCTAGACGCCATCGTCACTTTAAAGCTTGTCGCTCTGCGAGTTGGGGAGACGCGGACATTGCTCCGAGACCGAGTCCTGCAAATTAAAAAGGGGTTCGCTGCCCTTCAGGCTCTTTTGGACCGCGTTCGAAACGCCCGGGAAGGGTGGGTCGCAGAAGAAAATGAGATCTTTCGTTCACGCCCTGTTTTGAGAGACTCCAAACTGCTCGTTGAGGGCACCATGCTGGGACAGAAGCGTGCTGACCTAGCGGGGAGGCTCGTATCATTGCAGCTCCAGGCGGAAGACCAGGGCCGATCAGCTCTCGTCCTCGATGCCTCTCGTCGAGACCTAGATAAAGCACTCCATAAAGCAGCGGCACAGCTGAAACGGAGATGGGAATATCAAGTATGGGCGGTGCAGCAGGTGCTTTGGAAGGGACAGGATAGGGCGATGGATGGGAAGGAAGGAAAAGGGCTGGGCAGAGAAGTTGACGGGGTTAGACTACGTAGTGAGGACGGACGCTTGGTTGAGAAGGTGAGCAGCTCATTGCGGAACAACATTCAACGCATCCTCTTACCCGCCAATGGATCGGCCAAAGGAGCAGTCTACGAGCTTGAGAGAGACGAAGGCGATCCGTTCTCCATTGCTCCTGGGCTTCTAGGCCGGGGTCTGCAGCCGCAGTATTGCCTTTTAAGCAGGGGAGCCTCAAGCCTGCTTCCCCCACCAGTCGGTGAAGAAGAGTGCGCCTACCACGACCAATTTATCGAGGCCTGTCGATCCGAGGACGCTCGATTGGGCAAGTATTTGCGTGTCTTGGAAACAGCCCTCGAGCGGGTCCTTGAGCCAATGCGCGCTTATTCCAGCCTCGTTCGTGACACCTTAAGTATCGAACCCGACGAGTACGTTGGGAGGAGCCTTACTAGAAGATGGTTGAGGGTGGTGGGGGCCCAACAAGAGCGCATGCGGCTCCTGATTGCCTTTTCGTCTACGATGGAGTCCTCTGCCGCGGCCGATAGCGGAGGCGGGGACGGGGGCATCCTTCCTTGTGGTCCGTCTATTGCAGGTTGGGCGATGGTCGAAGCAGGGCCTGAAGAGGCATTGGAGGAGGTCTGGCCGGCATGGCAGCGGCCTAGGGCAGGCATGAAGGCGAACGAGGAACGTCTTCGTCGCGCAGAGGCCGATACAGCTTGGGCTGACAATCTCCAGGCGGCGCTGCGCGTGGCAGTGGAGCGGCGTGAGGCCCTAGTGAGTGAGGAAAGCTGCCATAGAGAATCAGAAGGACGAGGAACTTCATTCGATGCACGGAAACGTCGAGAGCAGCAGGATAAAGATCTGGAGGCAGCTAAAGACAGGCTCAAAGTGGCGGTGCGGGCCCTTTGTAAGGCGAGCAATTTGGCCCCGATATCGGAGGGCAAGCGCAATCATGCTCGGCTGCATCAAGTATACGAGCAGCGTGCCATGCATCGCTTCTTGCTGGAAAGGGTTGTGTCGCCCCTTGACTCAACGTGGGGATGGATGAGAAGCCTGGAGAATTTCGAAGTGGAAGTTGCCTCTACTCCTTCCAACGGTGTCGTCGATCGACGCGCCGGGCTCGTAAAGGAAATACAGCGGCGGCTCTCGCATCTTGAGGTACTCATCAAGGAGGTGCTTGTTCCTGGGATCGGGCGGGTGGAGGAGGAAATCAAACGAGGGAATACGGGCGAGCGACTGACGGCCTTGCGGACAGAGACTTTGGCAACGCTCCGACGCGTGTACAGCCTGGCGGAAAGAAATGAGATTCAAGCCTTAGTGGGCGCTTTGTCTCGACAGGAAAGAGGAGGGGAAAATTGCACCGCCCAAGGACAAGTGATAGAAAAAGAAAATGAGCACGGGAGCTCTTTCGCGGAAGTTACCGCGGATGCAAAGCTTTTGTACGAGGCGTGGCAGAGAGGGAAGGAAATGGTGCTCGACGCGGTTGGCAAGCGAGCGCAACAGCTTGTTGAGAGTGAGCTCGTTGGGGACGCGGACTCTCTGGCCGCCTCTTTTTCATCCCTCTCCCTCATCGATACACTTTCCCTCCCAGCGTCTACACGCGACGCCTGGACAGCGTGGCGAAAGCAGGTGGAGGACCTGGAGGCTGCGTGCAAAGCACTCCTTGCCTCCCCCAGTGTCTCCACCTTGCCTCTGCGTCGTCTGGGGATGTTCGTGGAAGGGATCTTCGATCGTTTGGAGAAGGCGGATTTTTGGTCGCAAGCCTTGCGCCCTCCCCCCTTCTCGGCCGCCGCGCGGTCGGATTTTGTGGTCGAGGGCGTACAAGGCGTGCCGGAGTACTGGCCCTGGCTGGGTGAAGGGACGGCCACCAGCATGCTGCAGCTTGAGCGGATTCTAACGACTTCACAGGTGATGACAGTGTGGATGCACCAAGAAGAAAGCAGTGGGGAAAGTGGAGAGAGGGGGGAGATAGACTCGAGCCATGCCAGGACACAAGGCGGGCGAACTGAGTGGAGAGTGGCAGCCCTGGACAGGCTTTTGGCCGACAGCATGCAGCGTCTGCTGAGCATAACCGTGGGCGTGCCGGTGCGCCTAGCGACCCGCAGCCTTGTGGACCGCGTGATGCGAGTGCTGGGAGTGTCCGCGCCAGACTTGCTGGAACGCGTGGCGTCGACCAGGGAGGTACAACAGGTCGCGGCACCTCACTTGGTGGAAGTGAGTCCCCGTGCACGGTGGAAAAGCTGGATCGGCGCCTTTGATGCTTATGCTTCGTCGCAAGCCACTACAGCCGCCACACAGGATGTTGATAGCGCCAGTGCACCTTATTCTGCGGCATGCCAGGCATTGGCGACAGTGTCTGAACTGGTGCAATCGCTGGCCGTGCAGGAAGCCTCATCGTTGGCTGCGGCCGAAGCGATGAGGAAAGCCGAAGAGATGGAATCGACGCTTGCTCGCTCCCTCACGCGCTTAGAGTGGGACTTGGACGGCGACTTCCAGGTGTTGGCCGCCGCAAAAAGTGTGGGCGTGAGGGTTCTGGGTGCAGAGGGTTTGCTCGCCTCTTCCGCAATCTACGTGCCGCACACTCCTCCCTCTCAGCGTAGGAGCTTCTTGCTGCAGTGCCTCGCTGGCGCGGTGGTAACTCTGGCGCAGGTCTTATCCGTGGAGCGATCTGATCTGTGGGACCAAGCGGAGGAAGAGCGAGGGGAAGAGAAGGCCCCTGCAAGCTTCCTGGCACCTTCCACCAAAGGCTCGGACAACGTTTCTCCCCCTTCCTTTGTCTCGTCGTTTTTGTCAAATGCGCGTCCTGCGTCGCGAGACGAGAGTTCCAGGCACCTTGACGCATGGCTGAAGCGGAAGCAGGATCTGATGCGCCTCGCCCGGGGCAACAAAGGCTCGACAAATTCCGGGGGCCGCTCCCTGTCCTCGGAGGAGGCGCTGGTCGAATGGGACTCGAAGACCAAGGCCCTCGTATCCTGCGTAGAGGCGGCGAGCACAGGGGCCCGGGCCATCCTCTTGGCGGCCGAGGGGGTCTTGGATTTTGAGCGATCGCGCGTGGATATGCGGGGCGTGGAGCCCGGCACGGACTCGCAGGACGCAGCGCTTTGGGCCCTCGTTTCCCAACACCAAGGCGCCTTGGCGCCCGTGATTGAGAAGCGCAAAGCCCAGGCTGGCTGTTTGCGTGAGATGGGCCGGGCCAAAGCAGACATGGCGGTCTTGGAAAGAGAGGCGAACGCGGTGGACCGGCGGATGGTGGAGATGGGAGAAAGACGCCGTGCTTGGATGGAAGAGGAACATGTAATGCAGGCAGACGTCAGAACAAGCCTGCGTCGATTGGCGGCGGAGCTCCGCGATTGCCCGTCTTTCTGCTTGAGCTCCCCTCCCACACACCCCGAGCCTCCCCCCCTCCCATCCGCACAGGAGCCCTCGTCTCGCACCTGGTCCTCCTCGACGGGTTCGGCGGGCGCCCGCCTCCTGGACGTTGGGATGCTGAAATCCATCGTCCGGGCCACGCAGGCCT